AAAACAAAGATTCCATATGACCTCAGGAAAGAATTTCTTATTTAAAAAAAAATCATCTATTTCACTCCCCAACTAAGTACTTTGGGAATTAGGGCAGGTGAAGGGAAAGGGTCTTGGCCATGGCAGTTTGATGAGAAATGAATTAATTTCATTATTTCCATGGTGTGGATCAATAACAGTCGCCTCTGCAGCGGCCCCTGGCCTGAAGGCAGCTGGAAAAATCAATAGGATCACAGAGAAGCCCTCTCCTCCCCCAGCAGCTTCTCTGATCTTTTCTGGGTGGACTCTTCACGCCTGTGTAATTCTAATTTATGTCAACTAGAAATCAAAGAAATTCCGAGAGGCTTTGGTCATAGGACATCAGGGTGGACCTTTCAAAATCTATTTATGTCTCTTCCTTAAGTAACGTGGGCTCCACAGCCCTCCTGGCGCCTTAATGGGCCCAGGAGAAGCAGCCATCCAACAGAAGGGCAGCTACCTGCTGCAGACGGAGGCAGAGGGATGGAGTTAGTAGATGGAGGTGCACTTTCTCCATCCTGTCTACAACTCTGCAGGGACAGAGGAACTAATAAGCATTTTAAGCAAAATGCTTTGCCAAGAGTGGCTCCCTCAACAACGCTCTTTAATGATACCCCAGACGCTGGCATTTTCAAATCAAATGAACAGTGTATAAAATTAGTTCTGCATGAAGTTAAAAAAAAAAAGTAAGTGAAAGGGAGCTTTTAAAAGCTCCAGCATTTCTCCATCCAACTGCTTTTCACAAGGCTTTGGCATACGAGAATTGCTACATTTATGATGTTATTCGCTGCTCATAATTCAGGCTCTCTGTCTCCAAACTTCTGTATTAACACGCACGGCAGAGGTTTCCACCACGACATTTTATCACCGAGGTTTCCCCAACCAGCCAGGCTGCCTCTGGCGAGGTCTGGTTTCTCAGCCAATGCTATGCCACTGGGCTCCCTCCCTCTTCATCAACCTTGTTACCCAAAACATTTTTCATTAACCTTGAACACTGCATTTCCATTTGCCCTACAGCTTTTCCATGAATTTTTTTTTTGTCTTTTCCAGTTTTGTTCTCCATCCAAACTGCCTTTCGAGAAGTGAGGAAAACACATTATTAGGAGAAACAGATCTATATAGAATCTAGCATTCCCTGAAGTTGTGAAAATGATTTCTAGAACCAAAGCCACCATCTGTAATTAAGGCAAGCAGAGTAAACATATTGCTCCTATTAGAGTCCTGTTGATTATACAAGTAGTTTTTCCTAAATCGTCAAGTAAACGTGTGTTAAGTTGATAGGTGATTTCGGGTCAACTCTAATTCCCAAGGTCAAGTAAGCCTTTGAACAGTCTTTAAGAATATAAATTCACCCCAATTCATCAAAGCCATCTCACACAGCGTTTTCTTCTCTTGGTTCTTACAATGCATTAAAGTTTAGGAGATTAAGTGGCCTCAGCTTCAAAACCCAAAGTAATGCCTGTAACGTGCTTATCCATCCAGCAATCAGAAAAGCCATTCAAACCGGGGCTTCCTAACTCACTTCCCAATTTTACAAGTGCCCGGGGAACGCTGCGTTCCTCAAATGGCCGGAGGACTCCTCTGTCACCACTGTTGCAGCCAAACAAATTTTACTGCTGTTTTGCTTAGACAGTGTCTGATAATCTAAGTACAAGTTGCTTTCGTCTGCAAACAATATGTTTAATGTTTCTCATCTGTTCTTTGTTTACCTAATGAGAGAATCGGGAGGAAAAACACCTTCCTGCAACAAATACAATGCATTTTGTTATTCTTACAATTTTTCAAAAACTCAAGTGAGGAGAAAAACGTAAGTTTGGTCAAGTATAGCTTTCGGATTAAGTATAAGTGGCCCAAATGAAACTGACTGCACATGAAAGAAAATATAACCAGCCTTCAATATTTCTCAGAACCATAGGAGCACGGCGCATGTGTCCTGGGACACGCAGATGCCACAAACCCTCCCTCATCCCAGTGCAGGGACCCAAGGGACGGCGTTTCTGAAGTGGGGGTAATTGTGCAGACCATTGAGATCTCTTGTTCACTCCTTTGGCTCCACGAAGGGGAAGGATAACTCATACTTATGAATTATTAGTGGTCAGCAGGTTTGGTTAAGGTACAGGGAGAAGAGAGAAAGGCCCAAATGAATTTAGTTAATTCTTTGTTGGCACAGATGATCGCATTGAGGTAGTAAATCGTTGTCTCCATATCCTAATCATAATGTCTCTGTGTTTCCTGTTTTTATTATTTTTCTCCATTATTTTTCTTAGTACTTTTTTTTTTGTTTACCTATTTGAATTGTCTGCTCCCCAACTCACCCTTCTCTCCCACTGCAAATCTTTCTTCATCCCTACGCCTGGGTTAGTAAGTTGATCCCCAGTACAGCGTGAGGAAATTTAAGTGAGGAAAAAAAGTAAAAGGGCAAAATCTCCTGTAATCTGAGTTTGTTTTTTTTCCCCTTTCATTTTAATTCCCTTTCAAAACAGGATAGCAGGCAATACACTTTTTTTTCTCCTCTGGAAATTCAAATATTAAACCACAGGCTAATATAATGACATTGATGATAAGAATAATCAATAACACTGAGCATTTTATATATAACACAATATTCTAAGGGCTTGATATAAGTGCACTCATTGAAATGCTCACAACACTTCTACAGGAAAGGTACTATTACCATCCCCATTTTTCAAACAAGGAAACAGAGATACTGAGATGTTAAGTAACTGCTCAAGATGACACAACCAAGTGTCCAGCCCAGATCTAAACCTGAACTCTGGCTCCAGAGTCCACTACAAACTGCTTTTCTTTGCTACTCAAATTTTTCTTTGAGTCTTGATAAAAATTTGAAAGCAGGTAATGGATAGCATGATACCAATTTTGAAAGCTGAATAGCTGGTTACTCTAGATTTCCATTCAACTAAATCAACCAGGCGTTTATGTGCAGATTTCACTTGCACTTTGTGTGTGGTTTGGAAACTTTTCTCTCTTCACAGAACCTCTCATGTTTGCCTCTGAGCTGCCTTAAGCCTAAGGGCGCCGGGCAGCAAGCCTGGGCCCCCGCACCCCCTGGCTGGCCAAGGGCTACCGCACCCCATGGCTGGCCAAGGGCTATGGTCGGACACCTGGTGCTAGAGCCAGGGGCCACACAGAGCAGCTCACAAGTTGGAGAAAGGATTGAAAGGCTGCCCCAGGAAATGGGCAAAACCCTCAGGGGTACAACCATACAGAACAGTCACCCCATCTCACTTTGAACTAACTTGTATTTGGGTAGAAAAGGATCCATTTTTTAAATTTAAAATTATCAAAATGCTGGTCAGCAAATATATCTGAAATAACCTCCTATACTAATCAAAAAGTAAATTTCTTTAAAAAAAAAGTCTTTTAAATTGGTTTTTTATTTTAAATTTTCAATGACAGTTTACATTCAACACCATTTTGTATTAGTTTCAGGTGTATGGCATCTTGGTCAGACAATCCTATATTCCAAAAAGTGTTCCCCCTGATATCTCCAGTACCCAACTGGCACCACATGTACTAGTAGTTATTACAACACTACTGACTATTTCCTCTGCTGTACTCCTCTATTTTGTAGCTACCAATCTATACTTCTCAATCCCTTCACCTTTTTCACCCAGTCCCACAAGCCCCCTCCCCTCTGGCAACCATCAGTCTGTTCTGAGTCTGGTTCTGATCTGTTTAGGACATAAATTTTTACAGTTCATCACTGAAGGTGGAGCTGATTTCAACAAATCCAAAGACTAGAATGATGGTGATGTTGAGACGGTTGTGGATACAGCGACCCACTTTGAATGCACACATTTGTGGCGTCCTTGCTTAGGTAGTACTCATGTAGGCGTTCCTCTGGCTGAGATTGAGGACCTCTGCTGTCATTGCTCAACATTTCTCGAATACTCTGCTGACTGTGGGCCCTCCCTTTAACGGCTATTCTTCTATTTGCCCCAAATTTGCTACATTTAGAAAATGCATGCCCTTTGAGAGGCACATAATATTTAGTTTCACTCTCTTTTGTTAGATACGTCCCTAACCACCATTAGCAAAAGTATCACACATGTGTAAATTACTCTAAGATGCCAGCGTTTTCTGAGCAAGTTTCTGAGGTGGCTCTTTTCCAAGGAAACAGTCCCTGTGCCTGGAGATGCCCCGAGGATGTGCCACAAGCCTGAACACAGACTCCTGAGACCTGGGGTACCATCTGGGATGAGTGGCCTTGAGCCATGTGTGGTCTTTCTGAGACTCTATATTCTCGCCTTCACAGTACGAATAACTATTTCTTAGATCCCTTATAGGAAAAACATCTTCAAAGGGCCCCGTGTTAAATATGGCCCAATTTCCCAAACTCACATTCAGGCCTCTGGGCCAGCTCCACAGGCCTGCAGTGGGTCCTCTGGGACGTATCTCATCATGTGCTTAGGTGTGGAAAGATTCAAATTCCCACGTAATATCCACATACCGGCCATTCCTGCCCCCAGAGAGTCGAATGCATAGCTGTTGGGCCCTGAAATCGCATACTTCGAATTGGGGAAAAACAATCTGGCACTTTCTTTCCACCTTACTGCTGCAGGAAACATGGAACCCAGAGCAAAACTTTACTGTTAGAAACTGCATGTTGCAATGTGCCTGCCATGCAAACATTACACATTTTGTCCATGGGCTTTAAAGGTAGGAGGCCAAAATCAAAGTTGACTATGAGTATGATTGTTTTTTCTTTCTGCATAAGCACAAAATTCATTTTTTAAATAGAGAAATGCAAATATAATGTCAGATTAGGTTAGAAAGCCAGGCATCTTACAATGCATAGATGTTAACAGTGCATGTATGTGTATGTATACATATATACCTATATACATACATACCTACATACGTAGATGGAGAGAGAGAGAGAGAGGGAGAGAGAGAGATAATGATATCCAGCTATTAACTACACTGATATGTACGAAATTAACTTAAAAGGTAACTCTTACTTTATCGCATCTCATCAGCCCCAAATATCTCAGAGACTTGCTGCTCTGTGCAATCAGGGTGGCTCCTTGGTCTGTAATTTCTTTACACCATCCAACATCCACCGTCTCTATTGTCATGCTGTATCGCCCAATGGCTATCAGCGCTGCGAGAAGGGACAGGGGGAAGAAGGCAGAATAAACATTAGCAGTGGGAGGGATATCTATCTCATTATTACCATTTCTCCCATTTCCTCACTAAATTTGTTCCTGAAATGTTGTGTGTAAACGCATGTTTTATAAACAAAATTAAGTTTAAAATGCTTTAGGAAAACTTGCCCTATGACAAACTCTTTCACAAAGTGAATGGTCATTCCATAATTTCCATTTCATTGGAACACAACTTTTTATCAGTTTTACTCGTTGCAAGATTACCTGTACTTGCAAACATTCATATCTGCAGAAGGAATAAATTAAAATGAATTACACATAAAATGCTACAGAAAACCCCAACTAGTAACTAAACTTATCCCAAGATAATGTTAATTTTTTAAAAAAAGAAAAAATCCATATAAACACCATTTTGAGGTGTGTAACACTGCATATGAATTTCTTTACTGATTGGCATAAATTTTTCCATCTGTTCATGATCTTAAAATGTAAGAATATATGATATTTTTCACATTAGTCCTTCCTGGGACTGTTAGGAATTAAGAGTACATTATACACACAGTTGAATTTAATTGGTGCCATGCTAGAGTGCAGTAAAGGGAATGCATTTGTTCTGGTGAATTTCTTCCTCATATCAGAAATATTCTTTCCATTAACATATAAAATGAAACCTGTCATCTGAAAACTATGACAGTATCTCTAGTCTCCTTGACTGTTTAGCCTAGTACTAACGTGCAGATGCTCATCCCATAATCTTTGAGGTGCCCTCCTTATCACTGCTCATAACCAGCCACCCCATCAGAGCGACCAATCAGTGAATGCGGCTTTTTGCTGCGGACTTCTGATTGGACAGACATGCATGCCTCTACCTTTGTGAGCAGAAAAACAGATTTCAGTACCTCCATCCTGAGTATGTTTATGGTGCATTGGTATGTAAATGAAAACCCCCAAAGCAATGCCACAAATATTAAAAAGGAAGAAGTTGTTTGCTAATTATTTCTTTATTCTATCATAGGATGAATTGATTCACTAGATTAATAAGAGCAGAGTGAATTATTCATGTGAATAAATGTTAACTCTTATAGCTCAGAGAAAAGTATACTTGGCAAAATCACTTTGCTAATTACCTCAGTAATTTTTCTTTTAACCAGAAAACTAATGCCCATTCCTTTAAATATCAAAGACAGATATTTAAAGCTTACAAAAACAATAGTCATGATCCCAGTGTTTTCCAGTGAAAATGCTATAAAGGAAGAGAAAAATTTTTTCCTGGAAGTTCCTCATGCCGCTAATTTGCAGATGCTCTCTTCTTTGTGTGTGCTATTTTATGCTATTCCGGTTAGTTTTCCTAGGAGGTAAGGCAGGGCAAGGGGGCGATCTGCCAAAGGCTTGCTGAATCGTCTGAATGATATTTTTGTGTAGTAGAAGCAATGTCCCAGGTCAATCCCATTGGTGTTCTTGACCTAAGAAAACTGTTGTTATCTCTGTTATGGTCATAACTTTCATTGGTTATGATGTCCTGAGGATCCCCTATGATGAACGAAGTAGAAGATACATAAAAAAAATTCCTTTCAATACAAAGGGCTCAAACTGTCATTTCAAAAGACCACAAAGCACAAGTTGCAAGACGGCCCTGGGGCGGTCGATTGTGCACTGTTATTGAGGTTTGAGGCTAGAACATGAAAGCCCTGCAGTAGCTAGAAAAAGGGAAACCCAATAGTCGGAGTTTTCAGAGGCTGGTTCCTGAGCAAATAGAGTCCATAGCAGTTTGTTCTAGGTGCTAAAATCACCGGTGTTTGGTATTTCCTTTTTTTGTCCGTATTAAAATAAACAGTAAATAAGACGAATGAAGATACATCGGGGTATTCGATTTTTGTTTAGTCATAGTCCTATTTACTGAAGTAAGAATTAAACTTTATTGTTGCTTAACGTGCTCATTTATTCAACAAACACTCCATGAGCTCTCACTCTACAGCCTTCTCACCAATATTTATAGACTATCCATGCGCTAGGCTAAGAATTTTAGGTGCATTGTCTCACTTTATCCTCACAGCAATGTTATGCAGTCGTATCGTTATTTCCATATTAAAGATCAGGAAACGAGTCACAGAAAGACGGAGTAACTTTCCCAGTATAGCCAAATAGCAAGTGGGGAAGTGGGTAATAAGCTCCGCTGGCTCTAGCACTGGGTGCCCATCCAGCCTACCAAGTTGGAATCAAGTGGTGAGGCACTGGGCCATTGTAATTCCCTGCACTACCAGCATGTGGAGCTGTGGTGCGACACAGGGGTCCCGTGCTGGGTCCTGGGGACAGAACAATTCCCAGAGCTCAGAGGCCAGCTGCCGTGGGGGTGGGTGATGGGAGGTTTGGGTGGAAGTGAGGAACGGCCAAGTGAACAGTCACCATACAATGCTCACCCCCATCTCTTTTCATGCCTACCTCCTTCTCACTTTTCAGACCTCAAGTGAGAGGTCAGCTTCTCAGAGCCATCACCCTATCATTTATTACTATTGGAAATGTTATTTATTTACTTATTTGTGGCCCACCTCCCCCATTAGAACCACAGCTCCTATTCACTGCTGTATGTCCAGCACCTAGCATGTGCCTGGTACAGAGATGGTTCTTAAAAATACTAGTTGAATACACCAGTGACTCTAACATGTTTAGGTCAATTATAGAGGCATGCCAAGGGGGGCCGGGAGCCCCTCACTCTTCAGGGGAGGAGCGCTATCATGGGGGCCTCCTGGAAGAGCTAAGCCAGGTCTTGAGGGATGAGTGAGGGTTTTCCAGAAAAACCAAGGAGTGAGGGCAAGGGTGTGGGGCTGAGGAAAAGCATGTGTCAGGGCAGGGAGATGTGAAAGAACAGGGACTGCAGGTCTTCCTGTGTGTCTGAAATAAAAAAAAAGTGCAAGGAATTGGCAAAACTTATTGCAGAAATATTTATTCATGATTAGTAGCACTGAGGTAGGCATAAGAGATAGAAAGGGCAGCAAAAATAAGAAGAGTCCTTGATGCCATCTTTATATTCTAATAGGCGGAATAGACGTGAGACAAACACAAAGTGTGTATAATTCTAAACTGTAGCAAGTGTTCTGAAGGTAATGGGCTGATCACTGTAAGAATAACATTTAGATGGGGCTGGGGGGAGGAGGTACTGAGGAAAGTGTTTCTGATGAAGTTATTTTTAATAGCCCTGCAAAAGCAATACCAATTTTAGAAATTAAACACACACACACACACACACACACACACACACACCAAACATCTGATGTTAAATACCTCACCAAGGCCCCAATCCAAATAAGTGGCAAAGACAGGGTACAAACTGAGATAGTTCGTTTCTTTCCAAAGCTAACGCTCATTCTACCAACAGCAGCAGCACCAGTGGTGTAGGGGGTGAGGGGTGGTGCGGGGGGAAGCAGGCTACATGTGTTCAGGATGTATTTCCCTTTACCACAATTCTGGAGTGAAACATTACAGCTTATAGGTAGCCAAGTATTTGCCTGTGACTATAAGATTCTTTATTGGAATCTTTAAATTCTAAAATGCATACTGAGTAATTTACTTCTCTGTGACTATATGCTACCTTTGGATGTTTTTTCATTGTTGCTCATGAGCTAGCTGTGAACCATGCAGTGCGATTTCAAATTCACTTGTAGCCTCACAATGTAGTAGAGGTCTGACCTCGGGATGACATTGAACATTTCTGAGCCTCGGTTTCCTCACCTGGACAAATGGGGATGTTGACTCCATGTCCTGCCTACTTCACAGTGTTGGCTTGAGGGTCAAATGAGATAATACATGTAAGGGACTTTGCACTACATAAATGTCATGATTTATCTGATATTTTCCCAAACCATTCTACAGTAGTGCAGTTGATTTAAAATGAAAAGACTTGAAAGAGTTTTGAAAAATAAAAACCTCCAGGCAAATGAGAGCATTATATAAGTACTTGGTCATTATGTCACTGCTATAGTTCTTGAACTGCCTACTCTCCATTGGTGTTCATTAAACCCGTAGACTGCACCTGGGATGACAGGGCTGTAAATGTATATATGATTACTACCTTCATTAGGGGCTGTTGACACATTACAATGATATTTATTGAGCCCTGAAAAGGGATAAATTATGCAAGACTAATTCCTAATCCCCATGCAATTTTAATATACTTTCTTTATGTGCTAAGTGCATCTAATAAAGTTAAATTTTAAAAAGTTACACAAATTACAAGCTGTAATTCAGTAACTCATGTGATGATCAAGGAAGGATATAGAATAGATCAACCCACTAACAGGCATTTCCATAGGCATACAGAGTGACTGAAAAACATGGGCACATATGCACTTACTTTTGACTAATAAATTCCATTTCTAGGAACCTACCCTGAAAATATACTTCTAATTATACAAAATTACACACACACACACACACACACACACACACACGACATATATCCTATCTAATAATAGACAAACATGGTAATTAACCATACCTTCGCTACGTCTCCCATTGGCTAATCAGTAG